CCCCCTACACCCGAGGTTATTAGCACCAAATATCATAATATCTGTGGGTGGCGCGAAAGGGAAAATGGATCGTACTTGCTGTTGGTACATTGGTCGTCGTTTCCCCACTGCTCCTCCGTACTCAGTGTCGCTTGGTGGGTTCTTTCTCAGCAGGGCACGCCAAATGTAAAGAACTTTGGTCTTCATTGCAACCCCCTAGTTTGAATACGACCCCCAACCCCCCTGTCATCACCAAACTTCACCGAAAATTGCCGTCGAGAGCACAGAAAACTGAAAGTAAGAGGGGAGAGTCAACACGCGACCGTCGCCGGGATTCCCCGCCCCGTTTAGATCACCGATGTGGGCGACACTTATTCTTTACTTCATATTGTCCCTGTCAAGTCGCTTGCTATCGCTCACTCCGCTCACTGTCGCTTAGTAACGCCCAACACTGCTTCAAGTCGCCTGCTTATCTACGATACTATCATTTTACAGGACCTTGCACCGAAAAAGCTTGGCTTTGGACCGTTGAAACGAAAAACGCCGAAACGACGACAAAACGTCAAAGTACAAAATCAACACTTGGAAGGCGTGTTGGAGGATTACGAGTAGAGCAGTGGTCTGTACATTCTTTGAAAGATGCGGACAATTGGTCCGCAATGTATTTCTTTGTAGCTCTGCTGGTTGTTGATTCGTCCTACGGAGATTGTGTTTGTTATGTTGTTAATTTCTCTCTGTGTCTTGATCATAAAGTTCAAAGCTATCCGAGTTCTCATTTCGAAATTCCGCAGATACTCTTCTCGGCGGCAGTTCGGATAGAAGGGGGTATTTTGCGCTTTCGCTGCTACCCACTGACGTGTCGAGCCATCAGAAGGAGACCTGTGACATCTTGTGAAGCTACGAAGTGATACCCGTCAAAGTTCGTAGGAACCACTTGTCAGCTCTTGCAAAAAAAATACTTGCCAACTCTTGTAAAGCAATGACCACGAAGATGGGTGGGGCGTACTTGAGGTGGGCGGTGCTTCTCACAAAATTCAGTACTCGCGAGGTGAGAATGTATGCGGTTTGTTGAGACTCGCCCACAGCGGGCGGCTTGTCCTATCTAACATGGGAAACAGCGAAAATCAAAATGCGCTCTCCCACTAAGCCGAACTGTGCCCTGTTCTCGTGTTTTTTTTTAATTCGTTTGAATTTTATTATATTTTGTAAAGATGGATGTTGTCATTGAAAAACTAAATGAATATGGGTATGTTCTTTTGTGTGCGTTGAACTTACCGAGGCACGTGTCCGTAATATTTATGAAACTGAAATGGTTACAAAGCCGTCAGCCATTTTTTTTTACAACGACGGTTTT